CACACACACACACACACACACACACACACACACACACACACACACATACACAGCTGGCCCAGAAGGAGCCCAGGGTGCAGGGTACGTGCGGTGGAGGTTGTCTTCAGGAATATCTCTCCCGTCTCTCCCTCCTCCCTGGGTCCCTTTCCCTACTCTCTCACAGTCAGTGCATTTGCCCTGGAAATAACTCACCCAGAGAAGGCAAACATTCTGCATTCCTAGGCACTAGGGCAATGGTTACCTCAGAGAAGAGAACCAACAAGCCTCTTTAGTGGCTGGGCTGCTTCTGTAGAAGTGGGACTTAGGGTAAGAGAGTGACTTCAGGGGTGGGGAGGGCTGTGGGGTGGCTGTGTACGTGCCTGTAATCACAATGACACAAGCTACTGTCATGAAGTACAGGAGTGGAAGGCAGAGGTCTAGGCATAAGCAAGACTTTCTTTCCAAAATTTGGGAAGAGTGCATGGGGGATAGAAGGACCTGGAGGGGACAGGAGCTTCACAAGAAGACCAACAGAGCCAACAAATCTGGGCCTGTGAGGCCTGTGGAGACTGATGTACCAACCAAGGACCATGCATGGAGAGGACCTAAATCCCTTGCTCAGATGTAGCCCAGGACAGCTCAATCGCCATGTGGGTTCCCTAGTAAGGGGAGCACGGGCTGTCTCTGACATGAACTCCATTGTCTGCTCTTCAATCACTTCCTCCTCCTGGGGCAGCCTTGCCAGGCCACAGGGGAAGAAGATGCAGGAAGTCCTAAAGAGACTTGATAGTCTGGGGTCAGTTGGTAAGGGAGAAGGGCTCTCCCTTTCTGAGGACTAGAGAACTGGATAGGGAGAAAGAGGGAGGGAGGGAGTGGGAGGAAATGAGAAAGGGAGCTACAGTTGGGATGTAAAATGAATAGATTCGTTGATAATAATAATAATAAAAGAACTTCCCTGCTGGTTAAAAGTTCATTTCTATTTGCAAAGATCTCTTGTAGCACAGGCTGGTCTTGAGCTTGCTATGAATCTAAGGATTATCTTGAATCTCTTCCTGCCTCTACCTACAGACTGAACCCAAGATTTCATGTGTGTTAGGCAGGCACTCTATCAACCGAGGTACACCCTCAGCTCCTAGAGGGTTGTAAATCTTACCGCCAAGAGGATCTTCCTGTTTGACTTCATAATCCCTACTATGGCTAGAACAGACAAGCAGAAGAGGCAGATGCCCACAAACATGCCTATCCAAGCTGCCCCAAAGATGTCGTCATTGTTGGTGGCTTCAAGCAGCGGGTAGAGACTGTGCTGGTCGGATACAAAGAAGATACACTCCGCCGTCAGGGCGATGCCACACATCTGGAAATGAGCCGAGGGTAGGTCTGTCAGGCTGGTGGCCAAGAGCACTGGGAAAGGGGACGGGGGCAGGGAAGGCTCTAGAGGTGCACCCTTCCCTTACAATGAATTGTCCATCATCAGGAGATCCAGCAGCTATTTTTCTCTTGCTTCCTTCTTCCCCATACAACTTTGTCTGTTTGCAATTTGGGAAAAGATTTAAGTAACCTCAGACCAACCATAAAGCCCCTGGGATATGGCCCATTCAGACAGCGCCTTCTCATATGAAAGTTATTCCCCTATCCTACCCCACTGAGAACCTTTCCGGGTGTAAGTGTAATACTTGAAGTGGCCGGGCCTTTGTCACAGCGGTTCTGGAATCCTAGTGACTATCTTCCCAGTGTTCATATTCTGAATGATGACTCGTCCACAACCACACACAGGCAGAAGCAGAACTGAGCCAAGACCAGCTCTCTTGACTCCCTGACTAACGTTCTTCCCTTATCCTCTAGTCCAAACAGCTTGGGAAGACTGGACTCCAAGCCACTCTCACAGCCTTTACAGAAGAACATCTGTCCTAGCCCCCTTCAATAACACAGTTACCAAGTCAAACCAGGGTGAAACTGGACAGAGGCATAAAGGAATGTGTAGCAGGTGGATCAAGACACTGACCATGGTGAGCATGACTCTCAATATTCATTACGTCTTAAAAATGGAAAAAGGAATAATCTATTTTAATATTGACCATGGTCTTCTGTGTGATAGTAATTATATGTGACTAATTTAAGATTCTAGCTAGTATATTTCCTACCACATTTCTTAAAACAAAGGCACTAAATTATGCTTACAAGAACAACACATTTTTTTTTTTTTTTGAAAAATCCTCACGACTTACACCAACAATCACGTGTCCAAAAATCAGCAGGCCCTGGAAGCAACGAACAGTGGAATCATCTTTGGCCATCTTCAGAATTTCCCACAAGCTGAAGACACAGTTCAGAATGTTACAGTTTGATGGGAGCAGATAGCAAATGCTGCTTCAGTTTCTACTCTGTCAAATGACATCACCTGTCTCCCCTCCTCTCTTTTGGCACCCAAATCAAGGTCATGGTGGAAGCATTTAGTAATGGTGAAAATCTGACACCTGAGGTCAGCCATCAAAGGAGTTCTCCAAAGAAAAAAATAAAGGCTTCCAGAGCCTGACCCGTGTCCTTCAGGAGTCACTTAGGGTATGAAAGACACCCGAGCCAACCTTCTGTGAGCAGTACTGAGGCTCTTCATGGTCACCGAGGGCACAAAGGTCAGACCTGTCATGGTGACATGTCTGACACACACTGAGAGTCCTTGATTGCCTCTGCCATCTGTGGGTGGGGCCATTTGCACCACAGGGAAGTGAAGAGAGTTGGCTGAGGCCATGATGGCCCCTGCGTTGATGTCGAATGTGTTATTATTATTAAGGAACAGAGGTTGCACACAGTGAAGTTCAGAGAAAAGAAGGATGCAGAGCTCCTGTGTGCACTCTTCTAGGAACTTCACATAGTTATCAAATCCAAGAGGACCTCTTTTGGGCACCAGGGAACCAGAGCCTAACTCCCTGGAAAAGGAGTGCCCGTGAGACCACACAGAGAGCAATGGCAGATTTGGGGGCCTGTGGGGCTCACAATCTTCCCTGCGGCTTGGCCTGGCCCCTAGAAACTATTTCTACAGTATATACCAGATGCAAGTAGACACGGACCTCTTGCCTCTTCAAGGGTTCTCTAGAAGGAACACAAGGTTAAATGTTTGGGTCAATTGGTTCGGCTTCTGCACTTGAGACGTGTTGAGGAAAGCAGTTCACACAGTCCCGCCCCCAACATTTTATTCTTTAGTTGGCTAACCAACTGACACACTAAGTCAAAATTACACAATTTGGAGAGATGAGTGAGGAAGACTGTTATATTCTAGGATTTTATGCTGGAAGACAGGCAAAGTTCTCAAGTAGTTATAATACATAAGTGGGTGTCTAAATACATGAGCGAGGGTGTGAGTGTGGAAGGCTCCAGCCTAGCTGATTATGTAGAGTCCGCCTTTGGATCAGGAGAGTGGAGGTAGCGTGTGGAGGGGAGAAGTGGGTTGGGTGGTGGACCCTCCAAGGAAAGGGAAAGTGAGGGAGTAGATTCAGAAGAGCAAAGTGAAGACAGGAAAGCAACTTAGCCAGTTTGGCTGAGCTCCTGGTCAGGCTCTCTGGACAGGCTCTCTGGGGAGGCATGTCTTGCTTTTGTTGTTTTATTTCCCCCTTCCTTCCTTTCTTTCTTTACAAAAGCGTGTGCTCTTGTGTGTCTGTGTTAGAGCATGCTGTACGTGTGTGGATGCCTTCGGAGGCCAGAGGCCTCAGATCCCCTGGAGCTGAGCTTACAAGCTGATATGAATCAACTAATGTGGGTGCTGGGAAGTTACCTCAGGCCCTTTAGAAGAACAGTCTGTGCTCTTAACCGTTGAGCCTCCTTCAACCTCAACTTTTTTTTTTTTAAATGACTCAGGCCTTGACAAACGTTAACTCTATTTTTATACACTGTAAGGCATGTATTAATAACCTAAGTAATTTAAACTTCTCTGAATATCTTTCCACTTCTTTGTACCTTGAAGGCTATGGGGATTTAAGGGGTTAAAATGTATGAGTGGTTTCAACTCAGGGTTTGGCACACACGCTCCATCACTGTTTGTCAAAGGAAGAGAAGAATCTGGGTCCTTGTTATGCCATCTTCCGATACCCTCGCCCCACAGCATTTTTGCTTAGAAATGCCATTTATTTATCTAGAGTAGTTCTTCCACCTCAGAAGGGTAGAGCCTTACAGCGCCTCGAAGGCTCCACTGGGGAGGATCTAACTGGTACAGCCGGATCAGATCCCTTGTAAAAATTCATGATTGGCACGCACGGACATCAATCCTGACCAGTTAGGCTGCTCTCTAAACTAGACACACAGATAAGCAGACTTTGAAAGATAGAAATTCAGATACTAGAAACACAGAGGCTAAAGGGCAAATATCTGGAGAAGCCAAGTTCAACATCATTACTGATCAGCATTGTACTGATTCTGCACCCACTTGGCACACAGCGGTGGTTAGTTGGGCTCAAAGAAGAGAGAAGAGATTTTTTTTTTTTTCTTTTAGGGACTATGCAACATGAATTCTAAAGGCAAGTTAGCTAGAGCCCGTGCTGATGAAGGGGAAGTGGCGAGGGGTGTGGAGGAAAAGGGAGGGAGATTCGGGAAGGGGGTCTTCACGGTCTAGACAGAAGCGGAAGGGGTCCTGAGCAAGGAGCGCTGCCCTCGTGAGTGCGCTTCCAGGTATCGCTGAAGTGTTTCAGAAGTGGGTAGCTCCTGCCTAACTTCTCGGCTAAGGTCAGGTGGGGAAGAGGCGAAGACCAGATCGTGGGAGAACCCCAGAAATGGGATAAGGAAATTAGAGTGGCGAAGAGAGTGGAGGACGCAGGTGGGAGGCTGGCTTGGGCCGGAAAAACCCGGGCAACTCCTAGACTGCGGCACGGTAGGAAAAGCTGGTGAAGCAATCGCCTGCGGATTGGTCGCTGGAGAAAGGATTGCAGCAGGAGGGAAGCTGTTCCGAGCCTGCTGGCTCCTCCAGCTTGGGCCAAGTAGTAACTTAGGAAGTCATGCCTGTCTTGGGGCCGGAGAGATGGGGCAGCAGTTAAGAGTGAGTGCCACTGGACCGGATTCCAGTTCTCAGTACCTGAGTCAGGCAGCCCACGACTGCCTGCGAGTCCAGCTCCAGGGGATGGATCCAATACCCCCTGCTGGCCTCCGAGGGCATCCACATGCTCCTGCATGTACCGCTCCACTCCCACACACGTAATCAAAACTAAAATGATTTTTTTGTTTGTTTGTTTGGCTTTAAAGAAAGCCATACTCATTTTTCAGAAAGGACCAAAAGGGACCGAAGCTGCCACCTACTGCTCCCTTCAGTGCTCGCCGTACAGTGTCAGGCACCTTTTGTTATTCTTCCCGAGAGACCTAATAAACCGGTATTTTTGCCAAAACGCTGTGTTTGTTTCTTATCGTTATAGTAACAGATTTGCTCAATCGCACAGAGATAATATCCGGCACTTTGGAGTCAGAGGTCTGAAGTGATTGTCACTGGGTTAAAATCTGTGTTGGCTGGGTTGCACACACACACACACACACACACACTTACTGCTCCTTCAGTGTTGCTCCTATGAACACGTATTTAGGGCTGACCACTTGGGATTGGATGACCTCTCTGGAGCTGGCCCATGGAGAAAACCAGCTCTCTTTCTCAGCAGCCATTGGCTGCCTGTAACTCTTTATCTAGGGGTCGGGGTCTTGTGAGATTTCCCCCATCCACGTAGGTCCTGTTTGGTTACATACTCCTTAAGGATCTAGGCAGAGACCCTGATTGCTCCCATCTTGACAACGAAGAAAAGAAGGCTTGGAGAGACGTGAGGCCATGCCATCAGAAAGCCCAGGATCCAGAGTCAAGTCCAGGTCAGCCTGACTCCAGGTTATTTAGCACCAGAGTTCATCAATCCCGACATAACACTAACACTTTAAGTAGGAAAAGAAACGCCTGCCTAACTTCTTTGCCAACAAAGAGAACACATACATGTTCTTAATGCAGAAGAGCCTTGTCTTTGCAAAGGTCGGAAACACCAGGGTTCACTGTGCACACTTCTCTAGTTTCTTAGCCTTTCCACAGGGCATTTAACACACTCATATTTTCCCACTATTATCCAGGAGACTGTACAGATGTTTTTCTAACCTACAGCTCTCCCCTCTACTGCCTTCTACTTTCTGAAGAGAAAGGGAGCAGTGTGAAGTCTTTGGAGGTTCAGCGTTTGATAGCACATCCTCAGCCACTCAGGTTTTCCTCTTTAGAGATGGGGGGGGGTCTTTTACAACAGCCCAGACTGGCCTCAAACTTGTGATCTTCCCACTCTCAGCTTCCCAAGTGCACCGTCAGGCCTGGCTTTGTCTCTTGACGTTTGTGGCACCTGTCCCAAAATGCCAAGGGGAAGCCAGATGCAGGCTTCCTGGACTTCACTGTGTAGTCCCGTAGCTGGGGTCTGAGGGCAAGCATGCTAGAGTCAGCAGCCAGATTCAGAGTCAAGTGTTCCTGTCAAGAGTTACTCTGAGAGCGGACATGGGGTCAGATTATCAATCCTCGTTTTGAAAGACAGATGGGATGCGCATTGAACATTGACAGGAGTCTACTGAGCGCATTTGAAAGACTCTAACTAGCAGTGTTTTCAAAGCAAAGACTCATGACCAAACCTTTGGCAGAGTACAGGGAATCATAAGAAAGAAGGGGAGTTAGTCTGATGAGGAAAGGATAGGAGCTCCACAAGGACCAAATATATCTGGGCACAGGGTCTTTTCTGAGACTGACATGCAACCAAGGACCATGTATGAATGTAACCTAGAACCTCTGCTCAGATGTAGCCTGTGGTAGCTCAGTAACCAATTGGTTTCCCATAGTGAGGGGAACAAGGACTATTTCTAACAGGAACTCAATGACTGGCTCTTTGGCCTCCCCACCCCCCAAGGGAGGAGCGGTCCTGTTAGGCCACAGAGGAGAGCTTTGCAGCCAGTCCTGAAGATACCTGATAAAACAGGATCAGATGAATGGGGAGGAGGTCCCCCCTATCAGTGGACTTGGCAAGGGGCACGGTGGAGATGAGGGAGGGAGGGA